CCCCAGCACGCCGCGGGTAGGCGCCCCGCCCCCGCCCCGCCCGGCTGCGGAGAGCCCTCCCCTGCCCCGCTCGGGCCGGTCCCTCCCCAGCCGCTCTCGCAGGCACCCACCCGGCTCAAGGGCTTCCGCTGCAGCCGCGGCTCCCGGGTTCAAATCCGAGCGCTGCCGTTTGCTAAGCACGCGACCTCGGGCAAGCGACTTGACCTTTCTGGGCCTGTTTCCTCCTCGTCTTACTTTATTTTAGATTAGAAATATACAGTTTATTTAGAAAGTGACAGAGAGAGCGGATTCACCTCCCCCAGGTAGGGGAGGGGGCCAAAGCCAGGAAACAGGGCCTGGCCGGAGCTCAACGTGCACCCGGCTGCACCATAACAAGTAAAGCGGTGGCTCCTCCTCTTTTGAGAGGATGACACCTCATTGGATTGTTGGGAGGATTAAATGAGTAAATATGGGTAAAGCGTTTTCAAGGGTACCTGGCAGATAGTAAGCGCTCCATACTTGCGTTTATTCCACAAAGGATCTGAGCCCTCGCGTACTAAGATGTAACTGGTGAGAAAGAATAATGCCAGCACGAAGCAGATGCTCAATAAATATTTGCTGAATGACTAAATGTCCTAAACACCCTAGGCACAGCTCGCCCCGGGATGATACCACGATTATCTGGAGTTTCCAGATAAGGAATCTGAGGCACAGGGAGGCGACCTTACGTGCCCGCAGGTCCTGGAGACCGCTTGGACGTGGGACTGCAGGAAGGACCCATGTGCTCAGCCGTCCAGCCCCCGTGGCCTTACCGCCTTCTCTCCCTCACTGTCACCCACACTGACTCTACCCCAAGGAACCCCAGAGAGTGAGCTGGCACACGCCCAGTGCTCCAGACCCGCGGCAGCCCCGCCCCCTTCAGAGCAGACATTCTGTCTTGAGGGCCCAGAAATGAACGTACCCACAAACGCCCTTGGCCACCAGGGGGCCCGCCCTCAGACAGAAGGGGCGGCCCCTCTTTTGTCACTTGATCCCATCCCCCCTTCCATAACAGAGACCCACCCCAGACCTCCCACGCTCGTGGTCACTTACACACGGGCACGGCACGCAAACACACCCTTCCCCATCTCAGCCAGGTAAGGCCTTGACCTGCCCATTCCCCTTCCCCAACAGAGGGTTTGGGTGTCAGATTCACCTGGGTCCAGCTGGTGCCAAGCGGCTTAAGGAAGGGACGCTGGCTCCCCCGGTCACTCTGGCCCCTCCAGTGGCCTCTCCACACCTCACCCACAGGAAGCCCTGCCCCCAGACCCGCAGCTCAGCCTAGAGAATGCCTGTGTCCCCTCCTCACCTACCCTCCCACCCTCCCAGGTCCCCCAAGATACCCTCACACTCACTCCCCACCCCTCCAGCCTCCGGCTCCACCCCAGGACCCTCATTTCTTTTTTTTTTTTTTTGAGTTGGAGTCTCACTCCGTTGCCCAGACTGGAGGGCAGTGGCCGCTCCCGGCCATGCAGCCTCGACCCGCTGGGCCCTGGCGATCCTTCTGTCTCAGCCTTCCAAGTGGCTGGAACTACAGGCGCGCGCTACCACACCCGGCTGATTTTTGATTTATTGTAGAGATGAGGTCTTGCCAAGTTGCCCAGGCGGGTCTCGAACCCACGGGCTCAGGCAATCCACTCACCTCAGCCTCCCAAAGGCGCGGGATTACAGGCTGAGCCACGGGATTACAGGCTGAGCCACCAAGCCCGGCTAACCCTCACTTCTATTTGACCAAGTGGAGCCTGAGTGCAGACACTGAGTGTAGACCTCCCTGAAGCCCTTGCTGCTGGCAGATTTCTACCCATAGACCAGCTTGGAGAGGGCTCCCCCTCCCTCTCTTACCCCCAGTCCCCTGCACAAACCCCTCTGCCACACACTCTCCTACACACTGGAACTCCCAGGCCTCTCCCCTGCCCAAAGGATTCCTCCAATCCCCACCCTCCAGTGCCTACGGGGTGGCTGGCCCACAAAAGAAATCAATTTTGAACCAGGTTCGGTGGCTCAGCCTGTAATCCCGGGCTTTGGGAGGCTGAGGTGAGTGGATGGCCCGAGCCCGCAGGTTCGAGACCCGCCAGGGCAATTTGGCGAGACCTCATCTCTACAATAAATCAAAAAATGAGCCGGGCGTGGTAGCGCGCACCTGTAATTCCAGCTACTCGGAAGGC